GAAACGGGGGAGCGTGAAACCGGAAGGGATGCCTTAAAGGGAAGGTTGCGGTTTCTCCCCCGACTTTGTCCGCTGGCCTGGCCCCGCCCTCTTAAAGGGCAAGGTACCGATTTTTAAAGAGTGTTGGGGCCGGCTCGTTGTATGACCAAAAGCTTCCTCTGTAGATGAGTGTACCCTCTTTCCTCGCTTTTTTCCCCTTTAACTGGGAGGGAGAGACCGTTTCCTAAGGAAGGCCAGATTGTTTAACAGTATTACTGAAGGAGGAGATGGATGTACTGGGCTGCAGGCTCTTAAAGGGGAAGTCCAACTTGGTGGAAGGGGTGTGGCCCCTGCTCAAAGGGCCTGAAAGACTGAATGCATTGGGCAGGAAGGTTTGCAATTCAAGTCCCCGTAGAGGTGCCTCGGAAGAAAGGCCTGGCGTTCACATTGGGGATAAAACCAGCCTTTGAGAACCCTGTGAGCACATTTCTGCCCTAACACAGGGGGGAGTGGGGATTCAAGGCAGCTAGCTTCTCTGATCCGAGGTGGGTCCTGGCTCTAACGTTGAAGGCAGTACCTGATTTTCTCAATGGAATACTCTCCCTCTTGAAAGGCCTCGTGAGTCACGAAGGTACATTTGTCTGCTCAGACCCTGGAACCTGGGAACCTGCAGCCTTGGCCAAGGCATTGCAACGTCTGTGTCAGGGTAGAATGGCACTCCTTAAGGGATCCCACCCTCCATACAGGTCTCCAGGCCTCTCTTCTGAGGCGCCCCAGTTGGAATTGTTTCAGAGGGAGTGCTTGCTTGTCACTCCTCTGGGAATGCCCAGCCCTTGGTTCTTCAGCGTTTACTTACCTTTACCGCGTGCCCACTCAGCAGGACACTGTAGGTCCCTATCTTGGTGAGGCTGACATTCTTGTTTGGGGGAGACATGATGAAACAAGAGAAACATGCCTTCCAGAGCTGCCGTTTCCGACCAGGGTGGGAGAGCTCCCCTGAGGTCTGCGTGGAGGCAAGGGCCAGCCCGGCAGCATGTGGAGACATTTTGTGGATGTCACAGCTGTGAGGGATGTCACATCTGTCTAGTGGGTGGAGGCCAGAGGACATGCCTTAATGCACAGGACAGCATCCACCCACCCCCAGAAGATTCGTCCAGCCCCAAGTATCAATAGGGCTGAGGGTGAGAGAACCCCAAGGCAAACCCGCTGCCACTGAGTCGATGACTACTCCTCTTGACCCCCCACCCCCAGGGCAGTGTAGACCGGAGCCTTAGGATTTCTGAGACTGTCGATCTTCACGGCTTCGGGTAGCCTGACCTGCCTGCCGTGGAGCGGCTGGTGGGTTTGAACCCCCAACCTTGTGGTTAGCAGCCCGTCTCCTAACCCATGGGGGCCCTGCTGCAGGAGAGAGCCCTTGGATGTGTAAGTTACCTGTGTTTTGAAAGCGCTCAGACTGTGCCTTTGAAGGTGGGTGGCTTCAACCCTCCAGCAGCTCTGTCGGAGGACGCCCTGGCGGCAGCCTGCCCCTGTAAAGGTGAAACCAGAAATAGTGCTGTCCGGCCACCCTGAGACCACCCAAGCCTGACGAACCCAGGATGTAAATCCCTCCAGGAGCAGCCAGCCTCGGCTTTGTCCTGGGGAGCAGCTGGTGGCATTGATGAAATCTTTTACACCCTTGGGAACCCAATAGGGTTCTCTGCCCTACAGGGTTGGAATGAACTCTGTGCGGATGGACCGTAGCCACAAGGTACTCGCCATTATTAGGTGCCTCGGCGGGGTCCAGGCTGGAAGAGGAGGTCCCTGGGTGTGTGTGTGGAGGATAGGGGTGGGGGGAGTATGGGGCAGAGCGTAATGGTGAGGCTCTGACCTAAAGGTTGGTCACTTCGATTTACCCAGTGGAGCCACAGAAGAAAGGCCTGTTGGTCTGTCTCACACACACCTAAACCCACTGCCGTCCAGGCGGGTCTGATCACAACAGACCAGACCACACAGGACAGAGAGGACTGCCCCTAGGGGTGCCCGAGGCCGTGGCTCCTTAGAGAGGCAGCCTGCTACTTCCTTCTCCCCCGGAGCGGGGAATGGGGTCCAGCTGCCAAGCAACCACGGCACTGCCCGGGCTCTCTTTTCATGAGCCCTCTGAGGCAGCACCCTGTCACATGGGGTCCTCGAGTGTGGGGACCAAAGAGGGCCAGGGGTGGGGTGAAGAGCACCCGGCTGGCTGGCTCTCAGGACTCCGAGGCAGGCACCAGCAGGTATGAGCTGGAAAGACAGGCCAGCTAAAGACCAGGCAGATCAGAAGCTACAGTGGACCCGGGTTGGTGGGGCGGTCTCGGGAGCCCTTGGCTGCGACCCTGAAGGACAGACGGTGTGGAGGTGGGAGGAGGCCGAGGTGTTGGAGGAAGTCCCCTCCGTCTTTTGCAGACCAGCCAACCACCCCAAGCCCACTCCTGTCCGGTGGATTCCAACCCACGGCGTCCTGATGGGGTCACTGGGGTGGACAGCTCGGCGGGTTGTCTCACTGTGAATGTGGTGGAAGCAGGTCACCAGGACTTTCTTCTGAGGTGCCTCTGGGTGAGTGGCAACCACCTACCTTGAATGTAAATAGTTTGCCCTGCCTAGGAAACTTAGAGGTGACCAGGGTGATCCGGTCATCAAAGGGATGTTTGACTATACCCCGCCCCTTCCAAGCTGGCATCTGACCCGCGTGTCCCAATTTGACCCAGATGCCACCCCACCACCCTAGCTGTACGCCCTAACTCCAAGGGAGGGGGCTTCATCATTGCGGTGGGATAAGGTCATTCCTGCCTCGCCAAGGGCCAGCACCCATCTGACCTGCCCCCTCTGCCAGGTGTGATGGTCGGCTCCCACGCGGACATGGCGCCCGCCTCCACCACTGAGGGCGCTGGTGGCGGCGGCGGCAGCAGTGGTGAGAAGCCGGGTCCCGCCCCAGCCCCGGCGGCGCAGTACGAGTGTGGCGAGTGTGGCAAGGCCTTCCGCTGGTCATCAAGACTTCTGCACCACCAGCGCACGCACACGGGTGAGCGACCCTACAAGTGCCCCGACTGCCCCAAGGCCTTCAAGGGCTCTTCAGCCCTGCTCTACCACCAGCGCGGCCACACAGGGGAGCGGCCCTACCAGTGCCCCGACTGCCCCAAGGCCTTCAAGCGCTCCTCGCTGCTGCAGATCCACCGCAGCGTGCACACGGGCCTGCGCGCCTTCACCTGCGGCCAGTGCGGCCTGGCCTTCAAGTGGTCCTCCCACTACCAGTACCATCTGCGCCAGCACACTGGCGAGCGCCCCTACTTGTGCCTGGACTGCCCCAAGGCCTTCAAGAACTCGTCCAGCCTGCGGCGCCACCGCCACGTGCACACGGGCGAGCGGCCCTACGCCTGCGGCGTGTGCGGCAAGAGCTTCACGCAGAGCACCAACCTGCGGCAGCACCAGCGCGTGCACACGGGCGAGCGCCCCTTCCGCTGCGCGCTCTGCCCCAAGACCTTCACGCACTCCTCCAACCTGCTGCTGCACCAGCGCACGCACGGGCCCGCTGCCCCTACCCCGGCCCCGGCCCCCGGGCCCCCCGCCCCTGCCGACCCCCAGCACCGCTGCGAGCCCTGCGGCAAGGTCTTCGTCTCTGACGCGTACCTACAGCAGCACCTGCAGACCCACGCCACGCCCGCGCCGCCGCCACCCGTCGTCCCCGAACTCTTCCTGGCCACCACCGAGACCACGGTGGAGCTCGTGTACCGCTGCGATGGCTGCGAGCTGGGCTTCGGCAGCGAGGAGCTGCTGGGGCAGCACCAGCCCGCCTGCCCCGGGCCCGAGGCTGCGCCTTCGGCCACACCTCCGCTGCCCGCGCCCATGCCTGCGCCCGCGCCCGCGCCCACGCCACCTGCCGCGCCCGGCTTTGCCTGCTTGCCCTGCGGCAAGTCCTTCCGCACCGTGGCTGGCCTCTCGCGCCATCAGCACAGCCATGGCGCGGCCGGTGGGCAGGCCTTCCGCTGCGGCAGCTGTGATGCCACCTTCCCGCAGCTGGCCAGCCTCCTGGCGCACCAGCAGTGCCATGTGGAGGAGGCGGCGGCCGGGCGCCCGCCCCCGCAGGCCGAGGCGGCAGAGGTCACCTGCCCGCAGGAGCCTCCGCCGCCCCCGCCCGCTGCGCCTGCGGCTTCTGCGGAGCGGCCTTACAAGTGCGCCGAGTGTGGCAAGGCCTTCAAGGGCTCTTCGGGGCTGCGCTATCACCTGCGGGACCACACCGGGGAGCGGCCCTACCAGTGCGGCGAGTGCGGCAAGGCCTTCAAGCGCTCTTCGCTGCTGGCCATCCACCAGCGGGTGCACACGGGCCTGCGCGCCTTCACCTGCGGCCAGTGCGGCCTCACCTTCAAGTGGTCCTCCCACTACCAGTACCACCTGCGGCTCCACTCAGGCGAGCGGCCCTACGCCTGCAGCGAGTGTGGCAAGGCCTTCCGCAACACGTCCTGCCTGCGGCGCCACCGCCACGTGCACACGGGCGAGCGGCCCCACAGCTGCGGCGTGTGCGGCAAGAGCTTCGCGCAGACCTCCAACCTGCGGCAGCACCAGCGCGTGCACACGGGCGAGCGCCCTTTCCGCTGCGCGCTCTGCCCCAAGACCTTCACGCATTCCTCCAACCTGCTGCTGCACCAGCGCACGCACTCCGCCGAGCGCCCCTTTGCCTGCCCCATCTGCGGCCGTGGCTTTGTCATGGCCGCCTACCTGCAGCGCCACTTGCGGACGCATGCCCCAGCCAACCCGGGCCCCAGCCCAGCCGGGCCCCCGACCCCTGTCCCGCTGGCCGCAGTCCCGACCCCGCCCGCCACGCAAGATGTGCACGTCCTTCCCCATCAGGGGTGGGGGGAGTATGGGGCAGAGCGTAATGG